GTCAATTATTTGAGCAGCTTAGTGTTGGGCGTTCTGAGAATTCGAAGAAGTGTTCCAATTACGTCTTGATATGCTCAAATAAATCCCAAAACCTCTCCACACGAGCCGCAATTTTGGCAGCCATCCAAATGATTCCTCGGTTTCTTGGGCTTTGCCAGATATGCAAAATTTTCATAAATGCCACAGCCAGCAGGGCTTGTGGGTGAGGCCCTGAACATGATTTACGATTACTAAACTACTTAATGTTAATCAATTGTGCAACAGACTCATGACGATGATGGGCACAATTTGTTGGACAGATAATTGCGGCAGACACTTTGTGCAATCATTGCAAATGTTGCATGGTGACAATGCCGCATGCAAATGCAAATCAATCCGAAGCGGGGTAGATGAAGGAAAACCCAGGGATAAGGAGGAAATGGGAGTTGAATTTCGCATATTTTTGGTTGGCTGCAAAAACCGCAAATTGCTATTAACGAAAATCTAATCATAACCGGAAATTAATTTGACAGGAATCTCATTAAATTTACAGCCATACCAGAAGGACATATGGCAGCAGCTGCTGACGGGTTCAGGACTCCGAACCCATTCGCATTTTGAAACCCCAGGCCCCCTTCCAGCCCCATTCAATCCTAATTCGCCAGCCACAAATCCCCTTTTGGCAAATCGTTTAAAGCTGCATTGCGTTGACATTGCAACTGCCAGCTGAGTATTTGAGTAATGTACGGGATTTCATTATAATATACAATTATTCCCGTGCGTTTTGAAGTTCACACGATGGTTGAGGTCGTGAATTGGGAGATATAAGTTGGTTGAAATACTTTAAAAAAATTATAAAATATTATAAAAATAATTTTTAAAAATCTTAAAAGTATCTTTTCTTTATTTATTTCGTTGTACATTTAAGTCATATATACAAGGATTAATAAATAATTAAAAACTTAATACACTCTTCTTATTAAGTCACTGTAAACTGAATCTCGACAAAATTCCCCAAGCCGAAAATGATAACTTCTGGTTAATTACAGAGACTCCATTCCGCATAACCATCTTCGAGCGATTGTTCCCTGTTAATTCCCCCAGTTTGTGCTGACTATGAGCAACTGGCTCTGCCTCTGCCGTCGACTGCCTTCTGTAATTTATTTCTGATTTTGGGTTTGCGCCATGCGTGGCTGAGCATTAGAGGCGCTTGCACATTTTGCCAGCACATAAATTAACATAAAGAGGCGGCAAACTGAGAGGTGAGAGGGGCCGGAGGTCGGGGGGCGGGGCAGAGTGGGCTGGGTGACGTCTGATAGTAGGGGGTAACCCCCCGGGGAGGCCTTGCAGCGATTACGTGACATTGAACCAGAGCCAAAGTGGCCCATTCTGATGGTCTGGCTGCTGTTGCAGTAGTTCTCAATCACAGACGACGAGAGTTTGAGTCACTATCTAATTGGACAGAGGCGGCGACAAGGGGGGCATTTAATCCCTTCGTGACATCTGACAATTGCAATTCAGCTGGTGATCCATTGAGAGTCCAGAGTCTACAAAGTCCGCCGGTCTATTGTCTCACGGGCGTATTGTTGGCAGTTCATTGTTGATTAGGCAAATACTATACAACAAAAAAATGCCTAACTAAGCTTTTAGTTTATTTTTACAGCTGCCGATGACTCATGGATCGTTAAGTAAGGTCTCATAAAAATTATCTAGTTTTTCCACATCGGATACGAAGAGTATTATGAACATTTAAATGAATATTTTGTGGCAGAGAACTAGTTACAAATTTCGCAACCAAAATGTATATGCCTTTTGCTTGATTTATATGATTCTTTAACAAATAATAAGTCAATAAATAAAATAAAAATAAAAGGGAACTCATTTATTAATATTTAAGCTGTATAATTTTTACTAATATTAAAATATGTAATATTATAGCAACTTTTTCCTCAATTGACACAAAAGCACACACATTCAAGGATCAAATTCTAATTATTTGTACTTTTTTTTGGCTAGGCGTGCATGGGTTTCCATTGAGAGTGATTAATCATTTGACTGACAAACGAAACAAAATTAACAACCCTTTAGTTTCCTATCTATTGACATGCAAACATTACAATTTAAAGCGGTACAGTTTATATATGTATGTATTTAAAATTAAATTAAATAATTCAAAAAAATTGAACGTCTGTAAAAAGTGATAATATAAAAATAAAATGTACTTATATTTGTTTTTAATAGCATGTTAAATATTAATTTAAATATTTGATTCAGAGAAAAGTAAAAATAAGTTTTCATAAAGTGCCAAACTGTTGATTTGTTATTCTGTCAATTAGTCTAAAAAAATGCTAAGTCCGAGTCTCGGACTCCGAGACAAAATGTCTTTGAAATAATAAACCAATTAAAGTGTACAGTTCAAATTCCAAAAAACAATTTCATTTAATTTGTATGTAGCTTTTGCTCGTCGGTTTTGTTGTTTTCATTTAATTTGTAATTCGTTTGTGCAAAGCTCAATTTATTTGGTTTCTTTCAGTTAAGTCACCGCAAAAGTCCAAAATTCCAAAGCAAGAAGATGAAGGCAAGTAAAGTCAATTTAAATTAAGACACTGAATTTTAAGCATTTTATTTAGTTAGCAAAAGTGTTTTCTATTTAAACGATTTGTTCATTTAATTGACTTTGGTTTCGAAGCTTTGATTTAATAAGCCTTGTCTGACGAGGTTAAATAAACAAATAATCGGCTTGAATTTGTGGGGAGAATTTAGTATTTTAAATATATTTTTGTGATCAACTTTTTGTTAATTTTCAATTATATTCTGACCACAAATTAAAAAAACTAACTTAAGTTCTTCTTTATTTAAAACAATAGTAATAATTAGTAAAAATATTATCGGTTGATTAGGTCCTTCAATTAAACCTCATTAATTGCTGCTTTCTCTGTTTTGTCAACAATTTTCCGTAATCAGCTTAGCGCTGAAAATATATTTCCACTTCATAACAATTGCCACTGATTTAGACCAGACACAAAATGCTAATTATCTGACCATTATTCATCATACAATTTAACCAAAATATTTGTAAAGGCCCAAAAATTAACTTCAATTTGCATAAATAAATATCCCTCTAAATTAAACAAATTGCCTGGTCATTCAGCAACAAATGCCAACAATGAAAAATAAAAATAATAATTTACCGATAATTTTCATAATTGTTTTGAGTTTTATTACTCCACGCATAGTTCCACGTATGAAGGGGCAGCAATAAAAATACAAAAAGTGATTTATGCGAACATGCAATTGCAATTTGTTCTGGGGCAGAGAAAGACATTCCCTGGAAAAAGGCCTTAAAAGCGAATTATGGCCATAATTAACCCAATTCTTTTGGCCATGGGACACCGACATGGAACGTTGTCATAAAAACAAAATTAAGAAAAATAAGAAAAGAAACCAAGCAGAGAAAAATGCTCAAGAATTTTACTTGCAATCATGCCGAGAAATGGAACGGGGTAAAAAGACAGAACTTGAGTGTATAATATTCACATACGAGTTCGTTCAACCAATCTTAAGTTAAGTGAAAGCTGCATATACCCAATAAAAATAAGAGGTATAAAGATACCAATATATTTTAGAGCTGGAGAAAATTAGATGCCTCAGATGTAAATATTCAAATTAAAACTTATAAATAAGTATTAAACAAGCAGAAACAGATAAATCCAGTTTTTCCACATCTCTAGTAGTTTAATTTTTATGTTAACTATTTTAATTGAGCCTAATTTTATGCCAAGCTTATTCTGACGGAAAACAATGGAATAAATAACTGAATATTCAAATCTTAATCTGATTATTAATTTATCCCGGTAAGAAACAGTTGTTTCAAATTCTTAAACCAATAAAATGTATTTGTAATAAATTACTCAGAATACCCTTTAATTTTTAAATAATAAATCAGCAAACTGTCGGCATTCTCATCAATTTACCACTATAATTTTAAGCACTCATTGCAAAGATGAATCTCAAGCAACCTTTTGCCAAAAAAATAAGGAATTTACGAGTGTTGCATACAATTTTCATATTCCTTGCAAATGATTTGGACTGCACCGAATTTGACAACTTCAAGTGGCTGTGGCAGCTGCCAACCCGCTGCCACGCCCACTCCCAGCAGCCGCCCATCATCTGCAATTCACTGGCAGCTTCTTCAGCAATTTATGCATTCAAGTAGCAGCCAAAGGCAGCGAACAGCAAACGCTGATGATGACAATAAGGACGCCGAATCTCTGAATCTCTGATGCTGCGCCGCGCTTCCGAGAGCCCCTGATATTTTATTTTGCCATTTGTAGTTACTTGTGTATCTGTAAGATGCATTTGGCTGATTGTCAAGTGCCTCGCTTTGTTATCAGGACGCTGCCATCATTATCCGGGAGTGGGAATCGACTTTAAGCTCCAAGCATCCGTAGAATAGAGTTAAATGACTTTTTAAGATCAATAAATATTTTATTTACTTTCCAAAGCAAAATGTTCTGCGAGCAATACAATTTTATTTATTTAATTCAAATGAAAATATTTATATACTAGCATTGTTGTTATAAAGTCTTGGCTTAGTTCCCAATTATTCGGAAATGATCTTTCAGATTCTACCAGAATGATCCAGAACACCAAAGAATTAAATTACTCCTATAGGAATTCCCCATCTCTTATCAATTTTCTTTGTTAATAATGTCAAAAGGTTGTCGCTGTTTTTCTTAAACAATCATATTCCATTATCACTCAGAGTAGACAGGAATGTGCGGAAGCGATGCTAAAGTTTTCTGATTATCCGATTAATAAGGATTTATGCATTTATTTATTATTTAATCCACTCTTGACTCTTTTAAGCTTTTTTCCCCTTGAAAGGGTTTATTTAATTATACTCAATGGAGTGGTTATGAAACTGTTAACCTTGGGTGTATTAATCAATAATAATAAAAATTTCTTTCCAAATTTAAAAGATCGGTTCCCTGTGATATTTTTTAAGGGCTTTTACTCACCTGGCAATGTTAAGACTCCGCTTAGGGCCAACACGGTCACCAGTACTCCAAGCATCAGCTTCATTTTTATTTAGATTTTCTTGCTTCTCACACACTTAAAGTTATTTACTAGAATTTAGTCTGTGTTTGTTTAGGGTTCAGAGTTGTTAAAACGTTGATGTAGACCGGCGACCAGATTCGATTCTGTTCTGTGTGGAAAGGCAAACAATCGTCAAATGCGCTTAAATGATTTGAGGAAGCGGCAAATAAACGGCAAGCGAGTGACTGAGAAGCCGAGTGAGTGAATTGCTCTCTCACTCTCCCTCTCACTCAATTAGTCGGTGGGTTTATAAATATACATGTATTCTAAATGGACAGCCAAGTGTTGTGGGAAGAACGCTCTACCGTGCCGGTTGACGGTGTGCAATAATCGGGGACACCACTGTATTGGATGCAGCGTATGAGTAATATTTCGTAGCTCTTTTTTAAAAACTATTCTTGTATAAAATATATTTAACAAGGCATCAAAAAATTTATAAAAACCAAATAAGAAAAGGAAATTAATTTAGATAAAATAAACTACAATTTAAAAAAATATAAATATATACATACCTACATTCAGAAAAATATAAGAATTCAGAAAAATATTAAAACAAAAATAACAAAATACTTTAAAATTTAAATTCTTTAAAATAATAAAATAAATAAAAAAAATTTCGATTGGAAGAGTATTTAGACGACTCTGTGCCAACCTTAGCCTAGCGTAAATTTAGTTGGGTTTTCAATTTACTTAATCAGTTTTTGTCTATGCTTCGTTAACTGCACGCGGCTTCTCTATTCCTCTATATTTTTATTTCATTCTCTAACCGTGTCCCTGTCACAGTTGCTGAATGTTTTCTCTACTCTACGTTTTATTCGCAATTCGTATTTTGAATTCCACTTCGATTGCATTGACTGGAATTATGTCAATTTGACGAGTGCTTAAATCACCTGTTCAACAAGCTTGGTGTAGAGTTCAAGGTGGTCGTTTCTGTAAACAAAAAGCTCATTTGCCTATTTCTCAATAGGGAAACTATCGAGAATTTTCTTCCAAGGAAATGAAAACGGAGCTATAGGTTAAACAGAGGGGCGATTCTGTGTAATTAAATGGTTATGATTAAGTGCTTCTTGTTAATTCCCCAGATAAGGCAGTCACGCCTTGATTGAGCCGGGTTCAATCACGACTTAGCTAACGTTAGTGCCAAAGATCGGCATTTTATTGGGAATCGTTATGGGAGGTTCGATTATGAAAGATCTTTTTGACATATATTACACGGGAGGACTTACAATAGTCACTCATTAATCATCAGTAGTAAAAACAAAGTATAAAATTAAATTATATAGAGTCAAAATCTGCCAAGTGGGCCACCCCTGTTCCGAAGGTCCGATTTTCATCGAACTTTTTTACTTTTCCGGTTCACAACGAAAATATAAGAACTTCATTTGAACGGTTTTGCGAAATTTTGAGTTTTACCGGAGTTATAGGGGTCAAAACATGGCATTTTTGACACTTTTTCGAAAAAGTTGCACTCAGTCAAAAATTCATAACTTCGGAACGGTAAGAGATATCTTTATGATGTTTTCACTAATCGCTCAAGAATTATTATGGCTTTCCATAAAAAAATTTAAAAAAAAATTAAAATTTTTTTTCTTAAAAATAAATCAACATTTTTTTTAGTTTTTATTTTTTTCAGTGTTCTTCACCAGCTATAGAGTTTAAAACCATTTGAAAATGAAGTTTGATTCATTACGAAAAAGATCAAAAAAAAAAAAAAGGGGCCCGGACAAAGGTTTTTCCCAATATCGATTTGAAGAAGGGCGCACAGCGGTTTTCCATACAAAAACGGCTTGCTCGTGAAAATTGGCTGGTCAACACATGCCGTTGCGCGCGTAGCGTCAGCCGACTGCAGCTGTCAATGACGCACTTTTTGTCGTTTTGTATGGGAATCCGCTGTGCGCCCTTCTTCAAATCGATATTGCGAAAAACCTTTGTCCGGGCCCCTCTTTTTTTTTTTTTGATCTTTTTCGTAATGAATCAAACTTCATTTTCAAATGGTTTTAAACTCTATAGCTGGTGAAGAACACTGAAAAAAATAAAAACTAAAAAAAAATGTTGATTTATTTTTAAGAAAAAAAATTTTTAATTTTTTTTAAATTTTTTTATGGAAAGCCATAATAATTCTTGAGCGATTAGTGAAAACATCATAAAGATATCTCTTACCGTTCCGAAGTTATGAATTTTTGACTGAGTGCAACTTTTTCGAAAAAGTGTCAAAAATGCCATGTTTTGACCCCTATAACTCCGGTAAAACTCAAAATTTCGCAAAACCGTTCAAATGAAGTTCTTATATTTTCGTTGTGAACCGGAAAAGTAAAAAAGTTCGATGAAAATCGGACCTTCGGAACAGGGGTGGCCCACTTGGCAGATTTTGACTCATAATGTAATCAAAAACCAATTCAAAGGTAGTACGCAACATTTGAACTTGAATTCATTAAGAATTTTTCTATCTTTCAAAAATTATCCCATTAGTTTGTTTAAAATTATAAATCTTTCAAGGTCCCACAAATTGGCAAGTAAAATCTTTTTATAGTATTTTCAATGCCTGATAATTTTGGAAATAATTTGTTTATGCTGAGCGTAGCATAAAAGTTAGCACAAGTAAATATTTCGCAAACAAATGGGTGAAAATTAGGGGGTAAATTGTTGCGCAGACAGCTTAAACAATCTTTAAATTGTTTGTTTGTAAACATTTTCGTCAGAGCCGAAGCGGAAATCGCTCACACACACAATTCAAATCACATTCACATGCCGACACCCGCGAATTTGCATAAACTTATTGTTGTTACCGGTGTCATACAGTTATTTCTGTAGGTCGCTTGAATCACTCGATTCTAAAGATCGGAAAAGAACGCGCGATCTTCAACGTGCGTTGGCTTTAATGAAATATTTCGGACTAAACGGTTGCGTACGATTTTGGCTTTATTTATACCAGCGCACGTCGCTGGCACAAAAAAGAGAGATTGAGAAGAGAGACTGAGAAAAGGGGGGTCTGTGGAGAGCGGAAAAGAAGAAGGGTCTTCTGAGTGATCACACCATAGTCGAATCTTTTAACCTCTTGCGGATATTACTGATTTACAAAAATTGAAGTTCTGAATAATGTGGGCAATATAATTTTTTTGAAGAAGCAAACAAGGTATCCCAACAAAATCAGGATAGATCATTCGAAGGATCAGTATCAACAATCCACCCATTAAAAAGTATGCATTCATTCGGTTCCACCTGAATAAATAAACTTAAATGAAAACAACGTAAAATAGTGATTTTTCATTAACAAAATAACTAAGATTTAATTACTTCTTTTCAATTTAAGTTATTTTAAATTGTAATAAAAAAATAAAGTTGTAATGTCAGTATATAACATTTTTTCACAACGCAAAACATGACTTTATTGAGAACAGAAATAAGCACGTGGACTGACCATAGACTAGTTTTGAAATCAAATATTTAGCACCCAGTTATATTTTCTTAGTCCAGTTTGAATACGCATCCTGAATACCCAACCTTTTTTTAGGGTACTCGAAGGAGCATTTATTAACACGTCATTGGCGGCAAAAGTGAATGTTGCCAGTGGAACGCGGACTGTGGGACTTCGTCCGGGGCAATCCCTTGACCAAAACAGTTCGAGGTGTACGAAAATCAGAAATTCAAAGCAGATAGCCGACAGCGCCGGAGAAAGAGACGAATGCAGGGGTTGAGAGAGAGGCGGAGATATATACACCGACAAGGAACGCGCGCCAAGCGACGTTCTTGGAGTGACAATGAAACACACCTGGCCCCTTTCACCCGAACCTCCCCCTTTTGCCCCGAGTTCCTTTATAGTTCTCGCCCAGATTGAAATCTCGAACGTTGCAGCTACAGCTGTTCCAGTCTTCTGTCTTCTGTAGACTGCTCTTCGTATTCTACAACTTGTAATTCTTGTCGCTGCTCCGCGAACCGGATTCCGATTTAACTGCACTTTCGTTGCTTTTATTCGGACTGCTATTTTTGTTTTACTACATACAGGTTTGATTGCACTATGCCTTTAAGTGGCAGAGGAGCATTTAAAATTAATTGCCATTTTCGGTTAATTGTTAACACAACATTCTTGCGGTCGAGTCAATAAATTCCCCAAAAACAAGATTTGGCTGTCAAGGCTTTAAACTGAGAAGAAATTGAGTCAGTGTTTGTCATATTTTAATGTGCCTAGCACCAACTTCTTTAAAAATTTACCAAATTCTATTAAGAAATTTTCTTTATTTTATCATCAGGAAATGTTGTGAATTTGAATACCAGTGTCGTGAAACATGGCGCCAATATCTGAATTCTTTTATTCTCTATATGTTTTTATGTATTTATTTTCTATTTCGTATTCTTCAGCGTGTGCAGCTTTTTAATTAGTCATGGATCTTTCGAATTTAAATTTAGACACAGAAAGCCACCCACAAATTATGACAAAACATTATGATCTTGACCTTGACACTTTTGGTAAAAATATAATACAAAAAAGATATATTTTAAAATGTACCTACTATTTTTAGATTGCTTTAATTATTTCTTGTACTTTTGAAAAACCCATAAATTTTTTCTTTATCAATTCATTTGGCTAGAAAACATAAATGGATCTGACTAATTGTTTAAAAGATATGGGACTCGCAAGAAGCGTTTTCCAGGTAATTTACATGGAAGTGAAGCAAATTAATGGCGTTTTTTCAAAACCATAACAAAAAATCGTAATCTTGTCAAATTTTTAATTATAAACTTAAAATTTAAATTAAGTGTAAACACCGCAAAACCCCGTTTTTTAATTGTTCTCGCAATCGCTTAGTCCCCGTTATATTAGCCGATGGTATAGGATGTAAAAATTGGTGGATGGTACTCAAATAATACTTAAAATATATAAGGGGTTTGAATCCAATATATATATATGTAAATATTTCAAAAATACGCGATTTTTTGATGGCAACGACCATACTAGCTTTAACAAATTCATAGCCATCTATGTAATTTTTAAGGCAACTGACAAAAGCGCCACCTTCTGTCAGGTAGCTGTTTGCAGCTGTTAGTATTATACAGTGCTGTTAGCTTGATGTCTATGTTAACCAGAGCTGCCACTGGCAACTTGACAGCTGTATTTCAATCGTTGTCTTGGTAACGGTTTTCACTAGATTTTATTGTCAAAGAACATAAATAAATAGACAGAACTGAACAAAACAAAATAATAATGTTTCGCCGTGGAAAATTATCCTTTCTAAACACCAAAGACGACCGCATCAAAATAATAAACGAACGGATCAATATAACAGAACGCCATTTAATGGAGATGTGTTCTTCCTTTGCGTTGGTAACAAGGAAAATGGCCAAGTGAGTTTCGCAAAGAGGTTCACCAGAACGACTATTAAAGATCCCTTGCAGATATCGCGACTCCTTCGACGACTTGGCCAAGAATGTCAAGAGCTATGCGGATGATGAGGAAATCAACGAGAGTCTCTGTCAAGGACTAAAGAGCTTTACCAATGCGGTAACCATTATGGGCGATTATATGGACATTAATGTACACCGTTTGGAACATAAGGTGAGGTCTTAAAGATATAAATACCAAGCCGATATTCTCAATTTTTTCCTAATCCCACCAACAGATTGTCAACGAATTGGCTCAGTTCGAGCAGCTTTGCAAGTCGACCAGAGACAATCTTCGCCTGGCTGTCATAGCCCGGGATAAGGAGGTTCTGCGTCAACGTCAGATGCTGGAGATAAAGTCAAAGTTTTCAGCCAATAACGTACGTTAATATTAAATTATTAAATTTCTATAATATTATTTAATTTCCCCTCCCAGAGTGCCGCCGATTCGGAGCTTTTTAAGGCCAAAATGGAGGTACAGCGCACCAACAAGGAGATCGACGATATCATTGGGAACTTCGAGCAGCGAAAGTTGCGCGACTTGAAGCAGATAATCAGTGATTTTATTCTGATCTCCATGAAGCAGCACACCAAGGCGTTGGAGGTGCTGAGCGCCAGCTACTATGACATAGGAAGTATCGATGAGCGCGACGATTTCCTGGAGTTTCAGAAGCTGATGAAGACCAAGGAGGAACCCACGCCTCGCAAGGCGGCCTTAAAGAAGGGTCTGCGTTCCCAATCGATGGACAGTTTGGAGCACGAGCACCTTGTTAGTCCGCTCAAAAGGCGCCAGAAATTGTCCAGGAGCAGCAAAAATCTGGCAGGAGCAGGAATAAGTCATGGGAGTAAGACGGAGCCCGAGGAGGAAACCGATGAGCAGGATGAGGAGGAGGATGATGACGAAGATGAGGTGAGAGATATGGGAAATTCCTTGAATTCTGAAATTTATTTATACTTACCTCCAGGAAACCGATCAAAGTGGCGATGAGGAGGAGGAATCTGGAACTGCGTCAGACGACGAAAGGGAGCCCACTCAGCCGAGCACCCAGGTCACTCCACGCGATAATGTCTTTGGGGCCAAGATTCGATCCGGTGGCAAGGAAGCCACAACGCCCTCGACCAGCGCTAGTGCTTCTGCTCCTTCAAAACCCAGCAGACAAACGGTCAAACATCCCTTCAAGGCGGTGGCCTCCACCCATGTAAGGCTGCAGAAGCAGTTTCATGTGCCCCAGCACTAGTTATAAAACTACAACTAAAACTAAGCTTCTTGTCATCAAGTAGAAGTCACATCAGTATTGCAGACTATACAAGTCATTCATTCAAAATAATAAAAACGCTTAACATAATTAAAAACAAGGAATAAAATATTACCCTTCTGCTGTTATTAATTTTTGTTCAGCAAACTACTGTTTTAAACTATTTTATCGGATTTTGAATATTTCTTATTTCCTTTATCATATATCATATTTTATACTTGGGCATCAATCTTTAAAAAGTAAATCGCTTGCACAATATTATAATTTATCAAAGACTTTGAAATCTGTATTATTTATTACTTCGTTTTGCATTAGTTTGGTTTTCTAAAATTTCAATTCATCAAATCCATCCACACTTATTGTTAAAATTATGTATGTGCTATCTCAAAAATATTTACTGATTGATTTCAATAAACAAAAAAAAAAAATTGCAAAATAATCCCCTCTAAAACTACCCACCTTTTTCCAGAACGTAGCTATTAGACAACGCTGATTTGCATACACTCTCAATGGTCACGGCGCACGATTTGCATTATTTGCCCCAGATAAACAAGAATAAATGTATGCATAACATAACTAATCAGGCGGAAATGACACTTTTCTCTCCCCCTTTACCCTCAATATCGCCCTAACTTTACAGGTGAGGAAGCGAAAATCAGGAAGTGGTCGCCTGGTAACCGTTGTTAAATCGAAGTCCTAGAACCTCCCAAATACCAGGGACTTTACAATTCTCGAATTTTTAATTTATAAATACAAACTAAACGGCAATAATTTAAAATTACTGGCCATTGCTCACAAAAGAATTACGTTACTTAAATTATGATGTTCCCCGAGTGGGAGAAACTTAAAACTATGCAATAAACGGATGAGCAAATGTGTGTTTTTTCGGAGCAACTGGGTGCGGAGGAGATTAAATGAATGTGAGAGCCTGGAATTGTAAACTTGATTCGGGTGTCTGGGTGACTGGGTGCCAGGTGTTCGATGTATGTATCGCATGGGATCGGGATGAAGTTTCCAGATGGGCGTGGCTGAACCAGCTCTACGGGTCTCATTTCTCCGGGCCCTGACCCTCGATCCCGGCCTGGTTCATCAGATCCGCGATGCTCTTCTCCAGATCGTCGATGCGGTTGCCCATGTCATCGATGCGCGTTATTATCTGGTCGGACATCGTCTGGAACTTGTCCTGGACGTTCTGCAACAGATTTTGTACCTGATAACAGGAGGCGGATTTTACTGGGTGCTCACTGGGGGGGTGTCTATTTACTGGGTGGTTCCCGGATCGGGCATTACTCACGTATATGGTCAGCTCCTGCATGTTCTTGGGGTCCGCGTTGCTGTTCAGGGAGTAGTTCTGGTCCAGGTCGCTGTCCATCTCGTTGCGCAGATCGGTCATTCTGTGGATTCTTTGTGGCGCTGTATAAAAGTACAAAATTCCTATCGCTTCTAGCTGATTTACTTCTGTTTGCAGCTGCGGCTGTTTCACTTCTGCAAATTTCTTTGATAATTTCTTTATCAAGCTTAGGGGTGGACTCCGGCCCGATTAGATTTTCGATAAGTCTGGTGATGGCAAGTTAGCTAGTTTTGAGTGCTTATGTTTAATTTTTATATTTTTTATTTATTTGGTTTCTATTTCAAAAGATTTTGAACAAATGTATGACCTTTGTAGGTGAATTATAAATGACGAGATTGAAAAATGTAATTATTATAAGTTCTATTGCATTTTGTATAAATACTAGCCCTCTTAATTACGTTCCTGCTTTGTAAATTATCTGTATAATTTTTTGGCATAAATATGTGCGTTTAATTTAATTTTTAAATCCAAAATTAATTTAAATGAGTTCTTCAAAAACTATCGTAGCTATTTGCCAGCAAATCTAGCTATAAATTGCTAGCCATAGCTATGTTTCTGACATATCGTTTCCCCACGTGGATGTTGTTATCGTCACCAAATGGAGGTCGACGAGGAAAAACCGCAGGTTGTTTTTATTAAAATTCTATTAAAATTCAATTAAATTATATTAAAATTTCCCATTAGATCATTCCGGAGAACCCCAATGAGACGGTGATCCGTGAACGCAATGCGGAGATCGTTTCCGGCGGCAATGTTTTCTACAATCCCGTGCAGGAATTCAATCGAGATCTGAGCATCTCGGTTCTGAATGTTTACTACCGGAGATTGACCAAGGAGAGGAGCGAAAAGGCGCTCAAGAAGCAGCGGAAGAAGGTGAAGGAGGAGGAGGAGGATGCCAGACCCACTCCCGTGCCCGAGGATCCAACCGTTTATGAGGCAGGCACGCGCTACGAGGATGGACTTAGGATCCTGGAGGCCCTGGCAGCCACAGGTTTGCGGAGCATCCGCTATGCGCAGGAAATCGCCGGAGTCCGGCAGATTGTGGCCAACGATCTTTCCCGCCAGGCGGTGGCCTCCATCACCACGAATATTCGGCACAATAAGGTGGAGGAGCTGATCGAGCCCAGTCACTCGGATGCCATGTAAGTGGGATTATGATAAGGCATTAAAGGGATCCTAAAAGATTGGTTTCATCACAGAAAAAAAACCGATATGAAATAGGGTTAGTTCTACCTTATTTCATATCAATAATAAAAAGCCGATATGATTTATGTAAAATTTAAGATTCAAACATATCAACATGATATTTTAACATATCATAAAGATACCAAATGTAGTATTTTCTAAGCATATCATATCAAAATGATATGAATAATTTGATCTTTAAAGAATATCAAATTGACCATTACCATTTTTTTCCTGTGTTGTAATCCTTAGTGATTTCTTATTCAAAAATATCTTGTAATTACCATATCTATCGTATTTCACAGGACCCTCATGTATCTTTCGACTCAAGCCGAGAAGCGCTTCGATGCTGTGGACCTGGATCCGTACGGATGTCCCAATCGCTTCCTAGACGGCGCTATGCAGTGCCTAGTGGACGGCGGTCTGCTCCTGGTGACGGCCACCGACATGGCCGTGTTGGCCGGGAATGCACCGGAAGCCTGTTACGTGAAGTACGGATCGGTGCCGCTGCGGATGAAGTGCTGCCACGAGATGGCACTGCGCATCCTGCTGCACTGCATCGAGAGCCATGCCAACAGGCACGGCAAGTACATCGAGCCGCTGCTGAGCATCTCGGCGGACTTCTACGTCCGGATATTTGTACGTGTGCATGTCGGACAGGCCCAGTGCAAGCTGTCGATGAGCAAGCAGTCGTGGATATACCAGTGCACCGGTTGCGAGACCTTCACGCTGCAGCCCTTGGGCATCACCAAGCCCAATCCCACGGCGGGTAATCCCCAGCAGCTGAAATACGGAATACCAACGGGTCCGGTGGTTAACTCGCAGTGCGAGCATTGCGGTCACAGGCATCATTTGGGCGGACCCATCTGGTCAGCTCCGATTCACAACCCAGAGTTCGTCGAGGATCTGCTGAAGGCCGTGCAGGAAACACCGCTGCAATCCCTGGGCACCCAGCGGAGGATCGTGGGAGTCCTTTCCATGGTTCAAGAGGAGCTGCAGGATGTTCCACTTTACTTCACGCCGGACAAACTGTGCTGTGTGCTCAAGCTGGAGATTGTGCCCATGTTGAAGTTCCGCTCTGCCATCCTGCATGCTGGCTATCGAGTGTCCTACTCGCATGCCTCGAAGAACTCGCTGAAAACCAATGCGCCGCCTGCGGTGCTGTGGGACATTCTGCGTAGCTGGAGCAAGCGGCACCCGGTGAATCCAGAGAGGATGATTCCTGGCACTCCTTTGGCGGCCATACTTGCGAAGGAAGGCACCGCGGACTACGAGTTTGACGAACTCCACCCGGAGGCCAACCCGAAGAGCCGTAAATCGGCATTATCGCGTTTCCAGGAGAATCCCACTCCGCATTGGGGACCAGGAACCAGAGCCACTATCATGTAAGCTAAGTAATCACCTCTTTTTTTTTGCATACTAATTTCCCCCATCATCTTAGGATTGGCGACAATAAACTGCCCAAGAGCTACCGTAACCAGAACAAGAAGCAGCGTCACAAGGCCTCGCAACAGCCGTCGGAGGAGGAGCCAAAGGATGCCTCTCAAGCGGCGGAGGGTGACGGTGATGAGGAGCACCTGGCCAAGCAGCCCAAGCTGGAGGCGACTGCGTGACAACTGCTTCCATGTCACAAATTTATTGCCAATAATGTTTGTAAAACCCAAAAACACAAAACGGTATTTTCACTGGGAAAGCAAACGCCTTTTGCGCAACTAATAGCGGAAGAAGTTGCCGTCAGAGGTCTGGCGCGAGAATCCGTTGTTGACCAGCTGGTTGTGGACGCCGCTGCAAATTAACTTGACGCTGTGCGGATGAATCTTCTCCTTACAACCGCCTGGAAAAATAGTTAATTATACATAAGTAATGTTGAAAAGTTGATATTAGTTAGGAATCAACATTTTTATAGAAACAACAATTTACTGGCTTTGGTAAAAATAAAATTTTGCAATTATAACTTTCACTGCACATTGAAATCTATTGATTGGAATAAAACTATCAATTATCTGATAAGCATACACTCATTAAAAAAAAATCGAAGAATTTCCTTAAAATCTAGTAAAATTCTTTCTTGAATTTTCTTCATCTAGAAAGGTTTTCTATATTCAAAGGCAAATTTTTTTAAAAACAAGAAATTTTTTTTCTTTTTTCAAAGTTAGGCTGATTTAATGGCGATTTTTCAAAATTTATAAATTCATTTTTATGAGTATACCACACTTTCTTAAAGGCAAATAAGTTTTGTTTAGTTTAGTTTTGTTTTTAATTTTTTGCTCTTCAAATGTAGTACAAATGCACTTTACTTTACTTTTCTAAAAATGGATTTTATAACTTTTTTAAATGGGATTTACTTACCGATGCGTAGTGGATGACCTAGTACGTCCTCCTGCTTGCGCCGAATAAAGCGAGTATTGCGTAGCACCCTGAAAGATTTAAGCTGGGCACCGATTTCCTTGGAGGCACCAGGAGCCGACCAGCTGCTAATGGCGCGGCACGTCTCCCGCTGCATCACATAGTCCACCTTGTCCGGAAAGGCTTCACGGGTATGGTCGTAGCGCGACTGCAGCGAGAAATCTAGACCGTCCTTCGGGACGTTCGGATTGGCACGGTATCGCTTGCTGGAGCGGACCGAGTTCATCGTCTGGTGATAGAAAAGCCGCTGATACGGCTCCAGATGGCCATGCCATGTGCCCGGATTCAAGTGAGGCTCCGGCGGCGGTGGCTCCGGGAAGGAGCACACATAGGTGCCCTCCGTGTGCAGTTCAGGCTGCCTACGAAACCACAAGAATAAACCTCTGATACCAAGCCAAATTTGTACCATTTTTACTTACCAGGACACATTTTTCACCTGCACAGTATCGTACTGAATCATCTTACAGGAGAAACCAATCTAATTTGGAGCGAAAGTGTAGGGGATCCGATGAGAGTACAAAATATTGGACCAGTTTCAGAACAACTTGGACTTGTGATTTTGCCTTCGGTTTCCCGGCAACTGTTTTGTCAATAAACTACCCGATTGCCAGGTTTTTTGGTGCCAATGGAAACGGATTCAAAACCTAAAGGTCTTATTAATCCAATAAAAAATATCATTGAAAAATTAAGCCTAGAAGAACAATGGAAACCAATTACCTCTTGATATTGGTATTATTGTTTAATAACACAATTAAAGCATATTCCAAAGAACCCAAATAACAACATGATTGTTTACAATTAAATCAAATTAAATTTTATTAAAACGTTCTTTTGACTGCAAAAAAAGGTTAGTTTTCACACTTACCGAATAAACCAGATACTTGAAGATATCGAATCCGAAAAAGTCAGTTCAAAGTCTCAAATCCGACATCAATCCAAATCTTCGTCGAAGGGCTCTGCTGGAAATGTTTTTTTCGCCTAAAGTCAAAAGGGACGCCCACCAACAGACAGGAAAACACCAACAACGCCAACCAGCAACAAATCGCGAGACGAGACGAGATGAGACGAGAGAAGAGGTGACGGGCAACAGGAAACTACGAGTGACTGCGGCTCCCAGATCCCAGCTCCCAAGCTGGGCTCCCAGAGTCTGGAGCTGTGGCAGCGGCAGCGGCTAACAGGAAACGGGAGGCTGCTACGGCAACGGCAACTGCGACTGCAACATCAGCGGCACCAGCAACAGCATCGTGCGACAGCAGCAGCAGCAGCAACAGCAACGTGCGACAGCAGCCGAATCAGCATCTGCAGCAGCAGCAGCAACAAACAGCAGCCACGTGATGTCCGGATGATGCGCTGCTGCTGATCCTCCCTCGCGATTCAACCACAATCTTATCTGAACCGCAACAACTGCCACACACCATTTGCCTGCATGTATATAATAAACGTGTGGGAGAAGCTTGTTAATAAGTTTGTCGTATGAGAGGTACAAAGAACGGAAACGAGCAACACAAACGCAATCGAATCGAATTGAATCGAACGAAACAAACAGAGTCCTATCAATCACTCATCCTCTTCTCATTCTCCTCCTGTCTGTCATCTGATATTTGGGTATTAAGTTGAAGCCGTGTGTTAATTTGAGTTTATTATGTTCTGTTTCTGTTTTTGTTCAGGGATTTCTACTAATCGCTACTAATAAGTATATCAAAAGCCTAATGTAAAAGAACCGACATCGAGGGATCGCAATTGGTGGCTGGGATCTCGCTCGGAACATAATCATGCCTGTTCTCTACTTATTTACTCTGCCGAAACTTAAAATAGTTCGCTATAAATAGTTTTGTAAAGTGTAAGACTGTTTAATGGTTTGTATACCTGCTGTTCGGGTACAGCATGACACAGGAGGAGCCACAGATCCGGCACAGGCGGCGGAAACGGGCTTTGTCAGCGAGCCAAATCTATAAATCAAAATAAAGAAAAGTTTTAAGTAAGTTATGGTAAAATATTTCGACTTTATCTCACCTCGCACTCTCAAAAGATGGAACGTTTCTTCGATGTTTAGGAGCGGCTGCGACTGCGAGACGCGGCTGTGCCCAGCGCCGCGGATCCGCTTCCGATTCCGTTGCGGCTATCGCCGCGTACTGGGCTGCGCGAAAACTTGGATCGGCGCTCCGGTGAGTGGCTACCAGCCGAGCGGGAACGAGAGTAGGAGCGGCGGCGCGGGCTGCGCGAGCGACGACGCATCGGGGAGCGAGATCGAGAGCGACGTCGTCCGCCGGATCCACCACCACCTCCTCCACCGCGCCGACCGCTGGAACTGCGAGTGGGCGACGATGGGCGGCCATATCGGGCCATCTGGACACGGAGCTCCCTGCCGTCCAACATGCGACCATCCATGGCCTCCAGTGCGTCCTCGGCATCGCGTTTGTCATAGAAGCTGCAATGTGTAAGAGATGTTTGATTAGATCTATGTGTGGAGACTGCAATTAAATTCTAATAAACTGTAGATCGAAATGGCATTGTGGGGTCCACAGTATGTTGGCTAGCAGGGTTTTGGTAGGCAACAGTTGCAAGTAAACACAGTCAATCTGGCATCCTTTTGCTACGGAAAATGTACAGATTGAGAGCTGATACACAATCATAGATAGCAAATAATGCACAAGATAAATTAAGGCTTTCGTCTTGGGTTAAAGCAAAAAAAACATAATTATGAAAGCTATTCTATCTTTTAATAATTGTCGTATTCTCAGTATGTTGGCTAGTAAATGTTTAGTAGGCAACAGTTGCAAGTGAACACAGTTTTTCTGGCACCTTCTTTCTAAACAAAATGAACAGAATGATGACTGAAACATTTTTAAAGATTGCAAATGATGCGAGCTAGACTAATATAAAATCAGGGTCATAATTCCTTGAAACCTTATCTATATTATTATATTATCTCTTAATACAATGGGATCATAACATAACGATGTTGTATTCTCAGTATGTTGGCTAGTAGAAGTTTAGTAGGCAACAGTTGCAAGTGAACACATTTGATATGGCACCGTTTTGCTACTGAAAATGTACAGACACTACCTGATACACCTTCGATGATAGCAAATAATGCTAATTATATTTAATTAGTGAGGTCTAGTGAATTGGATATGTATTTTAATTGAGTGCAATGAATACTGATGACTTTTCTATAATTTAAATACAACAATAGAGCCACGAATTTAGACACTTTTACATCCTTTTTTTATGAATACTCTACGAGTTCTTAGGAATGGTAAAATATAGTATTTTATTATTTAATGGATCGAAAATATGTTAATAAATAAAAATAACTGTAGTTCAGTGAAATACTAATAAAATATGAAGACAAAAACGATATGATAAATCATAACGGAACTGTACAAGACCCTGGACATGAAATGTCCTGACAGGTAGTTTAAAATGAGGACGTCAAAAAAAGGCTACTAAAATTTCCGAGAAAAACCCACGAAAAGCAAGGACTTACCGCACAAAGGCGAATCCACGGCTCTCGCGGGTGTAGCGATCCCGGGGTATGTAGATGTCGCCCACCTCGCCGCATCTCTCGAAGACCCGACGCAGATCCTCCGGCGTGGTGCGGTATGTGAGATTGTCGACCTGCGGATATTAATACACGCGGATTGTTTAGCATGCCGTTAAGAGGTTATCTAACCGGGCAACGTTGCCAGCCGGCCGCCATTTTGTAAGCGGTTTCCCTTTCTTTTTTGCCCAAATACTTGCCTTCAGCGAGACCATTCCATCGATTCTGGGAGGCGGACGCGCTGCGCCCAATCCCCCGGCACTTCCACCGTTGCTCATCGTCTATATGGAGATTGGAATTATCACTTAAAACACACGACTGCAGAAAGCGAGTTTATCTCTAGACGATTTTTTCCTTTCTGCTAAAATGGCGTCAGACGTCGTTAGAGCTGGAACAAAAGCGACGATTACCGCTACTATCGATACATACAGAAATTGGCAATATGCATTTATGGTAACTCAGAAATATCGATTCAAAATCACTTCATGCGCCTGAAACTATCGTTTGAAATCACAATTCGTTTAGTGAAATTATTTTAAGCTATCAATTGTATTATAATTCATAGTATTTCGGACTGTGTTCTAAAAATAAAAATTAATCCAAATATTAACATCGCATGAATTAAAGATCGCAACATTTTCTTAAAGTGAGTAAATGCATATTTTTCATAAAGAAGATTATATAAAAACATTAAAGGTAAATTTATGGCAATATTAAAAAATTCTACTTGTAATTGTCATGTAATTTTCAAAAAATCCTCAGCATTTTCCTTTCACACCGCTTGCTTCTGTACCCCACTGTGCCTGCACCTATCGATAGACCGATAGCATTGCACATTCGCGACAACCCTGACTCGATGCGTGGCTTAAAACGTGTAAAAATAAGAGAAGATTGCTAATTCCGAGCACTGCATTTAGTGTTCAGGTAGTCGAATCGCACCTGCAGCTCACCAGGTGGATACCACTGGCCCAGAGAGTCGAAAACCGAGGAATTACAGGGAAATTGAGTTCAATCCAAGTTGGCCAGGCTAGCACACACAGCCAAAAAAAAAGCACAACACCACATCACAACAGTAGTGTAGTCCACATTGAGCGGAAAGTCTGGCTTGAAACCCCCCGCAAAGCCGTGCGTGTGTGTGTGTGCATGTTTTTGGTGCCTTTGCCATTCCCAGTTTCGAATCCAATTCCCATTGCAATCCCAAGAAACGACCGCGTGTGTTCTGTGTGAGTGCGGGAGCAGCAAGAAGAAGCAGCCGTTTGAAGGAGGGCGAAAGTGTGTCGCGTGAAAAAAGCGAGAGAGATTTTCATCGGGGAAAACAGAGGATAACACGGTTAAGGACACGCACCGCAACGATGGCCGCCCAGGAAAACACGGAGATCAGCACAAAGTTCTCCACGCTGAACGTGAACGCTGTGGAATTCGTGCCCAGTTTCGGTTACAACAACGTCGTGGCCGCCGCAGAGGAGGCAATTGTGGAGGCGGTAGCGGCGGCGGCGGACCCTGGTCCCGCCTCCGGATCAGCCACGCCAGCCACCACACCCGATTCCGTCGGCAGCGGGGGATCCACAGCGGGCGCAGCTCCTCCGCCCCCGCAGGCGGCGACTGCGGCGGGGGCACAGCCACCAGCGGCACCCACATCATCCTCCAATTCCGCATCGCCAGCACCGGGTTCGCCAGCCACCACGCCTTCTGCGGCAGCAGCGGCGGCAGCTCCAACGCCCATCGAAGGTCTCAACCCCCCGGACAAAATCGCAAACAATGGTAAATAGAGCTGGGCCAAAAGCCCTTCGAAAAAGCCCCCTGCCCAATCCACACGCCCCACGTCCATTGAACTCTTCTCCTCTGTGACGTCAACAAAGAAGCGTGTTATTGTTGCTACCTGCTGGTGCCAAAGTGGTCTAGCGAAAGAGAGGGGAAAGCGGGAAGAGGGCTTAGCCCAGCGGAAGGGAAAACCCCGAAGAAAGGTTGCAT